CAGTGTAGCGCCAAACGACAGAGCTGTCGCTTGACGCTGCACAACACAGTGTGGCGCTGCAGTCCAAATCGTGGCGTCATTGCTGGAACGTTGATCTGGGACTTCTTTCAGTATTATTACTCTACGGGACATGCCTAAAGTCGTACTAAGTCAATTCGGATTAAATTATTAGACTTTAATTACTCTAATTAATTAATTAATTAATTAGGCAAAGTTTGTTTAGTCATTAATCAGTTTATTTAATCTTAAACACAAGTCAAACACACGATTTGGAAAAACACATAGAGTATGCATAATAAATAATGCACAATTAGGTAAGTAGGCACAACATGATGAGTTTGCAACCTAACCATGGCTCTAGTTCTCTAAAGCTCGGGATATGGGTTAGTCAAAGAGGGTCATGATTAATTGTCCGGATGCACCGCGCGGAAGCCTTACCTTTTGTAGGGTTGGCGCGAGTGGATGGGACACCGCGAGTTAAAAACTCGCTTCCATGGTTTGGTGAATTCAACATTCTCGGATGTACCCTTTGTTGCACAGAGCGTTCAATCAGGTAGATGGAGCATGAATTCCTAGAGGGTTATGTCCATATGTAGAACACATATGGGTTTCAGAAAAGTGAGAAAAACTCAATCAGGAAGTAGGATCGAGCAAACAGTGCTAAAAACTAGTCAAAATTAGAACGCATATTTATGGCTCGGTATTGGAATAACTTGGCGCGAGCGAACAGAGGCTGTCGCCGTAATTTGGCTCTAGCGCCTGGCGCCAGAGTCAAATACTCGGCGACAGACTCTGTTTTCTGACGCTAATTCCTACATGCCTCAGCAACTTTCTGTGCTCGATAAAATTTTCCAGTTTCGCGCAGCATTATTTTGATCCTAGTTGTGAAAGATATTTCTCAAATTTCCTACGTGTAAATATCCTATGTTTTTAACTCATTACGGATGGTCTTTCCAATGAGATCTTTTTTATGCGTATGAAAATAATGTAAATCAAAATTACGCACATGAAATACTTAGAACTTTTTGAGTCTCATTCGCTCATTCTAAATCATTGCCAAAATAAGTTTTAGGAATCAATATAGAAATCCTCTCCAGTTGAGATTGCCAAAAATTGTAGGGAATATTTCAAGCATTACCCCAAATTTGAACCCCACTGTGATCATACACTTAAGCGTGGTGGCGTCCAAAGGGAAAGAAGCTAGAGCAAAAGAGTCTACAACAAGTTTTAGGAACTTTTCAACCGTTCACGAGGTGAAGGTTATACCCCTTAACGATCTAGGAGATCGTCAAGTCCAATAGGTCTGGAACCATCACTGGTAGTTTGGGGACGAAGGTACAAATCCAACCTAAAAGAGATTGACCCTGCCCTAATCATAGGCCTTTACTTTATTCTTCTCGTATTCATGTGCGCTTTCTGACTAACATGCAATCATTAGGCTTACCCTAAACCTGTTTATCTATATTGGTTGAATATTAATCCCCAACAAAATTATTATTGGAGATCACTTGAATTATAATTATATTAACCCTAAACAAGATTATTAAATTTCTTATTAAGCGTGATTACAAGTACAAATTCCCTTTAAATATGCGTAAAAGGTGCGATCAAGCAATAAATAAAAATAACCAAGCAACATAATAATCATAACAATAATAATAAATCATAATAACAATAATTATGAAAATAATCATAAATTATAACAATTATAAGAATAATCATATTAAAGCATAATAATAGCAAGATCCTAGGCATGATACTAAAAAGATTAATAACAAACCCTAGCATGTCACTAAGCATTAAAAATATAAACTTTAGCCCTAACATGATACTAACATGAATATTAGGAAAGACAAGGAAGCATCGCAGGAATCACAATAAGCATATTTAATATTATAACCTTTACCCTAAACATGATACTAGGAATCATTGTTGTCATTCAAAATATCAAATATGATACTAGGAATCAAAATAACAACCTAGACATGATTTCTATATCATAATATCAATAAATCAATTAAATTACTTCCTTGGATGTGTCGTGTCTCTAATAACAAAATACACACGTTAGTAACTTCAAGAAAAATAATAAATTAAAGAATTAAATTAAATAATTGAAATAGAAATTTGGGACCAAACCCTCAGTAATCAACCCTTTCACGTCTAGGGCGAAGGTAACTTCGAACTTGGCTAGGTGTGTCTAGATCTTGTGAATGCGGAATTTTAATTGTAAAAAGTTGGTTAAGAAATAGAGAGAATATCAAGAATTTCTTGATAAGAGTTTATGAGAATTAGATGGAGAATTGATTATTGAAAACGGAGGTTTTAATAGGCTATTATAGATAAAATCAGACGGACATGATAAAAAACGAAACAGAGTTTCGAAAAGAATAAAACACGACCGCAGCGCCAAACATGCGCCTGTCACCAAACGCTGGAGTGCAGCGCCAAACGCCAGGTCTGTCGCCAAACGCTGATTCTGTCGCCAGACGCTAGAATCAATTTTCCACGCATTTTCTTATTTTGATAAAATTTAGCCGTACGAGAGGGCAAAATCGTGTTTTCCTTAAAACACTTCTTTTATTCTGATTAAAACTCTTAAAAGTCAATTAAAGTCAATTTATCAATGTTAATTAAATTAGGAATGAAAAGAACCTTCTAGAAGAATCTAGATGACTATAATCAATTCTAATTGCATTAGGAATGATAAATCAATATTAGGCCCTCCTCTAGATTATTGGGCCGCATATAAATATCAAACCAGGCCCAGTGTAGTAATTTGGCCATAACTTCCTCATTATTCATCGAAATTGGGCTTATAATATATCGTTGGAAAGTTCTTTTCGAACCCGGCCCAACTACACTATTATTGGACCCTTTCCGTGGACCAAACCAAAATTGATCGGCTGTTTTCTTAAAGTAGGTTTTCAAAAACAGTGAGAAAGAAAAGAAATAAAAACTAACCGCAACACTAGACTTTCCACACTTTCACTTCATTCGATTATGATTCGACGTGAAAGGTACTCATCACTGGGTTTGGTTTTGGGGAGACACATATGGGGTTCTACAGGTGCCCTTTTACATTGTTCTACTCATGGTGTTAGGCATTTGGATATTTTGGACTACACATTGTTTTGCTTAATTTTGCCATTTTTAATTGTTTTATTAATTTAAATGGGTTTTAATTACTTATTAAATGTTGGAGACTAGGCCTCGGTTTTTTAGCGGCATTTACAAAATTTAATTTTGGCAAATATTTGGGTTTACCGGCTTATTTAATTGGATTAATTAAGATGGATGCGGAATTTAGTGGGAGTTTTAATTATTAATTACGCTAAATTATATATTCAATTAAACAACTTAAACTAGTTTTAATTAGGCATGTTAATTGGATTAACGATCATGTAAAATGCATGAGCCATTCACAAATAGTGAATGGGTCAATGGAATGTATATTCTCTCATAGGTTTTATAAAATAGTAACTAGTGGGGCCCGAAAAGGATATAAAATACGGATTGCGATTCATGATGTATTTTTGTAAATCTAAATATGGTCTGCGAACCGTTGAGTATTTTTGTACCTTATGATTTGGGTATTTTATACCCTGCCAAGTGGCCCAATCAGAGCATGACACGTGTCACTGGAAGGGGCTTCAACTTGGACCTTTCAGATAGTGACATGTGTCGAGCTAATATTGCCCCCTGGGAGTGGCGGCTTTCAAGGCCCAAATACCAAGGGTCCCCAAAAAAACGGCATGCTCTGACCCCTAGGTCATCAAATCCTAGGGAGGGCACACTTCCCAAAGTCCCTATAAATAGGGACATTCCCCCATTTAATGGGACACGTTCCAATCATTACTGATCTGTCACTCTTAAGAAACAGACAACACCTGAGCTTGCAATCCGAGTAGATAACTTATTTTCCGCACGTTTTACTTCGACTCTTTACTAACTTAACCGTCGGAGGCTGACCATCGACCATTCGTTGCTCCGTTTGTTTTGCAGGTACAGGCGTCCTTGCTGAATCCAATCTTAGAGTTGTAACTCTCTTGAGCGACACAAAAAAACCCGAAACAACTTAATATTTAGATTAGTCCTAATCGTAGATACTAGTATTTGCATAATTATGGTCATGTCTTTAAGACGAAGGTTGTTGGAAGACGAAGCCATGAAGTTGCAAAAGCCCTCTCTTGAAGACTTGAAGATTCCAGGGGTCTTGCTAGTTGTCAAATGCATCTTTTGAATGTTTTCGATATATATTTATGAGTATTTATACATGATTATATGCTAGATGCATATTTAGGATTTCGAATGTTGTGATGATTAATTAAATTCACTTATAAATAAACCAACATAGAAACCCTAGGTCCCTAATATATTGAGTAAAACTTGGCATTCCAAAACAACACTTATCGACCTATTGAGAGTAGTAATGGGCTACTCCAAAGCGAGGCATCACTATTACTCCCTAGGTTACATAAGGCATACCGGGTATGCAAGTTGGTTTTTGTTATACTCAACGATATGAGTGATGGAATTTAAACATTTTGTGGCAAAGTGGATAAGTTATTGAGAGATCATTAGATGGATGATTTATCCAACCAAGAGTCACTACTACAAAAAATGGCAAAGAGACCCATTAAAATATGCCTGAGAAACCGCCTCACAACGGGTCTCTATCTCAGGGGGTCTGTTTGATAAAGAGACCCGTTCGTTAGAGGGGTCTGTTTTTAAGGACAAAGAGACCCCTGGTAAGTGAAAGAAGGTTTGTTATATATGTTTTGAAATAAATATTTTAGAAGAAAAACAGACCTGTTATAAGAGATAAGGGTCTGTTTGGTGGCTATCTAACAGATCTACTATGTCAGATAACAGCTCTCTTTATTCTCCAACTTTTTTAAAAAAAATTAAAATTTTGCTTTTTATTTGGTGTGGGCGGGTTTGCGTTTGAATTTGAAAATTTTGTTTATTTGCAATATAAAAACTGGCGGATAAATCAATTAAGTAAACTGTAATTTTCAGTTTATGACCACAGGAATAACAATGGATTAAAATAAAATTGATGTGATACAAAAAAATATCCAACATAATATGCAACAAAAAAAATGGATTTACAGAAATTTACAATTACAATAACAAAGACTTGAATACTCCATTTTCCAACTCCTTTTTCCATCTCCTTTTGATTGAGCATTTCTTGTAAAGAAATCACACAAATCTGACAAAAAAAATAACACAAATTGCTCTTAATGAAATTATATGAAAGCTATAGTAGTACTCGTATAATTTTATAAGTGATCCGACAGAAAAATAAAAAAGGTAATTAATTATGTGACATTTAGCCATTAAGCTAACGTACCCTACCACCAAACCTCTATTAAACTTATAAACAATATAATTACCCAGATGAGCATAATAAGACAATGTAGAAGAACACAATGTTTAATCCACAAATCAGACATACCCAGAAACTATTTTCCAAAGCTTTCAGCCCAAAACAGATTAGAGTTACCTTCGAAAGCCAAAACAATGTCGTCCTCAACAATCTCAGGAAGAACCCACTTTTCCTTCGACCAAACACCAAACCCATAAGGCCAATTCGTCTTCCCAACTCGCGAATTGAAAAGGGATTTCTAGTAACGTCCAACAATCCGCCGGAGCGAGAGTGGGAAATGATCTCCTCGAGGGAGTAGGACTCGGTGGAGTCAAGTGGCGCGTTGAAAAAAAAAATTAATAATGAAAATAATCAGAAAAATAGAGTACCAAAAAATAGATAGAGAATGAAAATAATCTGAAAAATAATCAACTAATTAACAACATACTACATAGAAACCAATTACTAGTGATAACTGAAGAAAAACACCAAATGAAATTAGAGTTAGATGAGTAAAAAATAAAATAAAATAAAATATAGGTAGTATAAATCTTACCCAACAGTTATTCGATATACGGTGAATGACATTAAGCAAAAATTCATAGAATTTAAGATTATGAGAGTAATCAGGCACTCTAAAGACTAGCAAATTCATCAACAAATCAGATCTAAAAAATCAATCATTTTCATCCAATAATAACTCACTTTTACCAAATCAAATACAATTGCCGGAAAAAAAACCACTAATATTGAAATTCAGTAATATTCCACCCACATAAATCACAACTTGTATATATATGGAGAAATTAACATTGGTATTTCATCAAAGGATTCTTTGATTCACAGCAAAAATTCAGAAATTAAGAACGAAAATCATAACAAAACTTAAAGTATTCCTTGAGAAATAAATTAAAATGGACAAACTCTGATTTTCTATGAGAAAGTGACGGCGAGAAGGACACCTCACACCACCACACCACCAGCGAGAAGCCGCGGAACGCCGGACCAAAAGAAGGAATGAGAAACCGAGAAAGGGAAGGACCCAGAAGAGAGAGAAATAAAGCGGATCTAGGATTGTAATGGAGAAACCATTGTTGTAGATAGAGAGAGCTTTTATCACTTTCAGAAAAGGAAAGCGGCGTGAAGAGGATGAATTGTGATGAAAATTGAAATGGGGAATATGAAGAGAAAGAATAGGGTTTTGTTATCAATCCTTTAAGTGGTGGGCCCTTACACATATAAGAGACCTGTTAATTCAATTACGGGTCTCTTATTTTTTTTTCCCTCCATCTTTTTGTGGGCTCTTTGATACATAAGAGACCCATTATCTCTAATATTAGATCTATTATATAAAGAGAGCCGTTGAATTAATTAACGGGTCTTTTATTATAGGTTCCTTTGATCATTTTTGTAGTAGTGAGTGGCTTGGAGTCATTAGCAAAGAGTTGCTTACCTTAGGAGATTGAGTGTTAAGATAAGCCAACGGATGCTTAACTACCATTTTTTTCTTTGGATCTTGGAATCGACTTATTCTCGTCAAATGGGGATAAATTTAATGCGTGGATAAGACATTTAATAAGATTGAAAATTTGCATGAATATTTTTAATTTTCAAACTTATTTTACTTGATAAATGGCTATACTTTGCATCTATATTTTTATAATTCCAAATCAAACTATATTGTTTTCCCTGATTGATAAAGGAAATCTTTTAAAAATGGTTCTCAAAGAAAGGAAAGGCAATTCTAAAAATAAAATTCTGATAAATGACTTTCATAAGTCCGAAAGGACGGTTGGACTCATGTATTCAAAATACTAGGTAGTTTTGATAAACATGAAGTATTGAGTTAGAAGCTCAAAAATTGTCAATGCTTGACAACCAACATATATTCTCTCTTTATACGCTGGTGAGTACAACTCATTGATGTATTAATTCAATTACGAATTAAAGGAAAACATGGATCTTTGTTATGCGGCGCATTGGATGCTTAATTATGCCTAACAAATTATTAAAGTCAAAGACTCTTAAAGAAATGATTCGGAAAGATTATGAGATAAAGTATGATAAGAATTATAGGAAACGAGGAACAAAGAAAAGGAATACGATTACATTTCTGCTAAAGATTTCATGTTATTCTAATTAACTTAGCAAGTTATTATTTTCACAAGTATCAAATACTGCTTGAGTGTTCCACTTTGAAAGTGACCTCAAACGATTGAAGATAAGCTAAGTTATTGACTTACAAGCTTAGAATGTAGCAAGTGGTGCTACATCAGTTGTAAGATAGTATGCTTTGTTTAAAGACCTTTTAAGCTAAGGTTGTAACAAATAAATGGTTATTGTGTTCCAAAATCAGCATGCGTTAACACACGGAAAGACTCACATTCAAAGTAAAGAGCAATAGTTGCAAATTTATTTGAATGAATGGTTGTTTAAACCATGAGTCAAGAATGCTTTATTATAAACAAACATTTCCCTAACATGAAAACTCACAAAGTTTAAATCATAGGCATGATTTGTGTTCCAGACATCTTTAGCAATGTCACATTAACAAGAACGGACTCAAGACTATATAGGCTCTTAATAGTTTATCGATTCGGAATCGTTCTAAGCAAGTCTTACTTGTTGAAAACCGACAAGCTATTATTCTTGGTATAGACCATTCACTCCGAAAGCTAAAGAGGATTCAATTAATTCAACGTCTCAGGAAGAATTTGAAAGAATGTGACAATATTCATCAAATGTGAACAAACTTGACCTTAAATAGTTCAAGATTTCAATGAAGTACAGAATCCACTTGGGTAGATGTCAAAACGTCTAGATTAGATCGAGCGACGTTTCCTTAAGCCAAGAATGACCATCACAAAGTTATGAAATTGAAATTTTCATAAATAACTCCACATAGAACATAGTGTGTCTTCACGGAGACCTCGATGCCATTTAAAAAAAATGATTCGAACACTGATGGATTACACCCCTTTCTATAAAGTTCTTACAGATTTGCACAAAGGACTAATGTTACACTAAACAAAATGTCAGAGCTAAGAAAGGACACCATTTCAGTTATGGAAAGAATTAACTTCTAAATATCTTTTCAAGTATATGTATAAAACTTTTAGCCACAATGAGAGTTCAGTGGCTGAGCAAGAGCTAAGTGACTCATTGGGAGCTCACCGGCTTAGCAAGAGCTAATTAACTCAGTGGGACCTCACCGGCTTAGAAAGAGCTAGGTGGTTTAGTGGGAGCTTAATGGCTCATTAAAGGCTAAGATAGATCAAGTGGGAGCTAACTGTTTATTTCACAAGGAACTTTTACCCAAAGATAATATACATGTATCTTTGTAATCTATCAAGTGAAACTACAAGCACAACTTCCACAACCTAAATGAGAACATAATGTTTGTTGCTTTAAGTGGTGTATTTCTAGAAAGTAATACATTTTCAAAACGACAAGTGGGGAGAAAATGAACTCGATGACCATCGAGATTAGCAACAAACTAGAATTGAGAATCTCAGAAGACCTTAAAAGGGCTTCGTAAGAATACTTGATCAAGAATACTCAAAAGGACTTTACAAGTGTTTTTAAAGAGAATTCATTACTCACAAAACTTTTGAAAAGTTGGAGTAAGATCTAGATAATTAAAGAGCTTTGGAAGCGCCTTGAAACTCAGTGTTTGATGCAATAACTCCGCATAGGTATAGAATTCACCAAAGGATTGGATTGAATCCTATAGAAAATATTAAGTTAGAAATAAACCTAAGACATACAAACATACTATTTACTATTAGATAGTAAGGGAATAATGCCTTATAAGATAGCTACGACAAATCAAAATTCCAAATAATGGTTAGAGGCCATAAGATCCAAAATAACTCTATGTTTGAAAATCATGTTTAAAACTTGATTAATTTGCATAAGGGATGAAGACACATCGACCGCAAATAAGATTTCAAGGAGAAAACTAACAAATGTGGAAATGTATATGCATACATAGCTAGATTGGTTGAAAAAGATATAAAAATTCACGGAATTGAATTTAATAAATTATAGGATATTTTGGATTTTAACACCTTACAAAAGGCTGAAAATGTTTTTTAACACCCCCCAAAAAAAAACTTTTATTTTAACACCTCCCAAAAATATAAAAGTTGGAAGTTAACACCAAAATCCATCTTCCGTTAACAGAACTGTTAGTGGGGCCCACCCCAACGGATATATTTTTAAAAGATCTGTATATAAGAACCATTCTTCCACGATTCTTGCACGATATATAAGAACCATTCTTGCACGATTCTCCCCCAATGAACGAAATCGTTGTTCTTATTGAATAGCAGCAGCGCATTGCATTGTTGCACGATACTTGAAACAATTCTTTCACGATTCTTCCACGATTTTTGAGAAGAGGAACAGATTGAAGCTGCTGAAACAGGTGAGTGCGGTCAATTGTTCGGTTGTTTGGTAATTATGGTTTAAATTCTCTTCAATTATTATTTGCAATTGTTTCGTACTCAGATTAATGGTTGGATTATGTTATGTACGCATCTAAATGCCCAATTGCGAAATTAGGGTTCGTCAGAAATTGAATTTGGGGCTTTTCGTATTATGAAATTAAAAATGAATTTTGTTGCTGTCAATGTTAATTCGTCAGTGTACAAATCTGTAAATGTGACTGTCGATCTAAAATTGATGCAGATTATGTCGTTTGTTAGCTCTTCCCCTCCTGAGGCCAGAAAATGTAAGTGTGGTGTGCCAATGGCCAAGCTCACTAGCTGGACAAGGGAGAATCCAGGCAGGAAGTTCATATCATGTAAGTTTTATGACCCAATAACAGAAACAAGGGGTTGCAAAGCTTTCGAATGGGTTGATCAACCTGATGGAACAGATTGGCAAACAGGGGTTATCAACAACCTGTTGTTGGATAAGAAGCTGCTAAAGGGTGAAGTTAATGAATTGAAAAGGGAAGTTGATGAAATCAGTGGCCAAAGGAGGTGCCTACTTAATGAAGTTGATAATTTGAAGATGAGATGCAAGGCCTTGAACGCTGACAGGAAGAGAATGAACAGGGAGTGCAATGAAGGGAAGGTGTCTTCAATCAGCTGTTTTGGTTGGGTGGGCATGGCCATTTGTATAGGTTTGTCAATGGGTGTAATTTTCCTAATGGCTAGGGGTGTGTAATAGTAAGCTGTATTAAGTAGTTATAATTTCTTGTAATGACTTGAAGTGTTATAAATATGTCTTTTAATCAACCTATTTATGCCTTGTCTAAGTTCCTATTTATGCCTTGTCTTTTAATCAACCTATTTAAACATGTGAAACATTAAAACATGGGAAATATGTGAAACACTAAGATAGTTCAAGTACAGGTTGACAAAAGAACCTTACTTCAACATGTTTCAATGGCAATCAAAGCCATGCAACCATTACAATTCAATATCTAATTGTTCAAATTTGTTAAGGGAAGCCACTAAAAAACTAGCAAGTTACATAACCAGTCATGAGTACATAATAAAAGTTTGAAATTGTTCAACAGACATAATGTTTGATATCCAGCATGAGTACATCACTGAGTAAGGTTGTTGAGGGATTGCAGCCTGGCCCTTGTTACAACACCTGTGGCTGTTGTAGGCTGACTTGAGGAAGACCTTGTCTTTCTTTTTGGTTGGCTTGAGGCAGGCTGACTTGAGGAAGGCTGAGCTGAGGATGGCTGACTAGAGGATGGCTGAGCTGAGGAATGCTTAGCTGAGGAAGACTGTGGCTGTGGGCGCTTGCTGAATGGCAGACAACCTTCTTGCTCTTGAGGAAACTTTTTGTTTCCTATGCTGTTTGGTCCAGCCCCAATTGCACTCTATGACATGCATATAAAAATAAAAAGTCAATGGAAAAGACACATACATATATAAAACAAAGGGGGAGTTGGTGTAATGCTTGTGTTACCTTTTTAGCAGCCCTAATCTCTTTCTTCTTCCTCTCCTCCACCATCCAAGGAGTGTTCAGTGGGGGTCTGCCTGCTGACTTTATCAGCTCTGTAGCTGGTGCAGCAGGTACTTTGCAAGTCTTGGCATAATGCCTATATCCCCCACAGTTGCTGCATTGCTTCTTCCTCTTGGTACTTGCCTGACCACCTGAAGAAGAACATTCTCCTGGCTCAAGCTTCCTTTTTTTGCTCTTTGGTCTCCCAGGTTGCACCTTAACAGAAGGGGGTAGTGGTTCCCTCATTCTGACTCTCTCCCAGTGCTTTGGGCCAGGCATTGGTTGGACAGCTGGTTCATAAGCAGACCTGTATGTGTCCATGGTATAGTATGGGTCAACAACAGCCTCTATGTCACCCCTCATATCCAATATGCAGGCATAAGCATGAACACATGGAATGCCAGTGAGTTCCCAATGGTAACATGTGCAGGTCTCCTTGTCCAAATCAACCAACACCTGGTCATCCTTCAGCTGCACCTCAAATGTATTCCCTCTGGATGGCTGCACCACACAGGACCTAGCCACAAAGTCTATCCTCCCCAGAACATGCCTCACATATGGCACTAAGTTGTGTGTAATTGTTTTTGAATCCTCCCACTTTTCATTATTCCTGTTCATAATATACCTCCTCATCCATTCCATTTGGGTGAGGATAGGTTTATCTCTGGCAGGCCTAATGACTGCATTGAAAGTATCACACCAAGCATATACAAGCTAACCAATATAAAAACACACCAACAGTCATATAAAAGCATAGGCTAGCTTCAACAATCAATAAACTTACAATGGTGGTGGCCCTAGCTGCTCTCCAAAACAGCTCCTTAAAGGTTGATCCAGTGAAGTTGAGCTTGAAGTTAGCCCAAATATGCCTCACACAAAACCTTTGCTCAGCTTTGGGAATAACATCAGCCATTGCTTTAATCAAACCCTACCAAATGCAGACAAAAGTATAATCATCAGTCAATCACATACATACACATGAAAACTTAGAAATTGAACCTAAATAGTTAAGAGGGAAACAGAAGCATTACCTTTTGCCTGTCAGACATGATGGTCAGCCCAGCTCCTTGATCATGTGTGAACATTGACATAAGGGATTCCAAGAACCAACCCCAAGTTTCCTGGTTTTCAATCTCCACTGTGGCCCAAGCTAGAGGAAACAAGTTGTTATTCCCATCCTTAGCAACTGCCACCAGAATTTGCCCAGGAAAGGCACCCTTGAGGTGACAACCATCCAACCCTATTAAAGGCCTACAACCCTTTGCAAATCCATCTCTCAATGGCCTTAAACAGATGAACATCCTCATGAACAATGGTGGCTCTGGCCTGTCAATACCATCAACAACAACATTGCACCCTGAACCAGGGTTGTACTTCATCACAGCTTTCCCATAATCCCACACCCTAGCATACTGCTCCCTAGCTGAACCAAATATCAGTAGTTTTGCCCTACACCTAGCTAGCCATGCCTTATAGTAACTCACATCAACTCCTAAATCATTCAAAATCCTAGCCCTAATCTCCTTAATTCTCCAACCAGGGTTACTCCTAAACTCTTCTAAATACCTCTCTGCTATGTATTCAGCAGTAAGCATCTTGTTCTTCTTTACTCTGAAGCAGGAATGGTCTAAATTCAAGGTTTTGATTTGCCAAGTTTGCTGCTTAACAAGTTTTGATGCAAACACCTTGAACTGACACTTTACCCCCCCCACACATGTACAAGCAGGCATTCTACAAGTGTAGCTATTGAACTCACAGCCACATCTATATCTACACTGAACTGTAATCCTTTTACTGTCATTATGCAAGTAGTAGAACTCATACCTGTTTTGAATGGCATGAAGTCTTAAGGCCCTCCTCAAGACTGAAGCATTACTGAATTTCTGATTTAACTTCAACTTGATTGGGTTGTCAAAGTCCACATCAGCATTAAACCAAGGAGCATAGTCCTGTTCCTCATCAGATCCACACAAACTCCTTGAATCATCTGAATCAGCATCACTTTCTGGATTCACCTTCGGTTTTCCAACATCCAAATCATTTCTCAACTCTACTCTCTTATCTTTGCCAACCCTGTCATCTACTGCACTCTCCAAACCTTTCCTAAGGCTCTTGTTCACTTTGGCCAAGATCTCCTTTGACCCTTCAATATACCATTCCTCATCCCCTTCATCAAATTCTTCTTCACCAGGTTCCCAATCTTGTCCCTCATCACTCAAATCTGAACTTGAATAACCAGATCCTTCACATCCATCATCCTTTTCTTCATCAAACCTCAACACTTTAGCATTAGCTGAGGCTTTCCTAGGTGGACTCTCCTCCCTTTGTTCAGTTTCTGTCTTCTTAAACCTAGGGCTCCTCCTAATAGTCGATGTATTTGAACTTTCTACCTTCTTATCCTTTTTTTTTGTCTTTGCAGGATTGGGTTGGGCCTCTTGTATGGGCTGACTAGGAGCTTCTGTTGTTACAAAAACCTCAACATACCCCTCTTCATTTACTGTCTCCAAAAGGCCCTTAACCTCTTCACTGTTAACTAGTTCCCTTTTCCCAGTGTTAAAGGTTTTCCCCTTCTGCCTATACCAACAGCTGTAATGCATAGGCACATCCATATCACCATTAACAAAACCATGAATTGCAGCTGTTCTAATCAAATGCACATCCAACTTAGATACTTGAACCTTCCTCTTCCAGTAACACCAACCACCACACCAACACAGCAGCTGCCTGTTTTTGGTTACTCTTTTAGGGACAAAAGCACCTCCCACTCTAAGGCAGATGTCAACCAAACTATCCTTGTCACCCATTATCTACCCACCAGTGAAAAACATATAAAACATATTAAAAGCCATGTAACTATACATGCACAATACGAATAAACAAATCCATCACAGCCACACAAACAAACACATAAAAAAATTGAAAATAAACATATACAAGCCAATGTAGGTGCTCAGTAACATAAATTAATCAACAAACCACACTTGCTAGTTTAATTAACAATAAACCACCTTAATTAATCTCTACTTTCAATTACGAAATCCAATTAACCTAAGTCGCATAGTCAGTTACAGAAATTGATTTATCAAGGCTTTCCTACTGTGGTCCCAAAATTTACCCTAATTACCCAATTATTGCAAGGTTTACAGCAATGAAGCACCAGTAATTGACGAAATTGCTATCAAAGGAGAGCAATTTTACCTTATTTTCTGTGAATTTCAAGCGGCTTTCGCACTTTTGTAGTTGAAGAAGATGATGAAGAAACCCTCCTGAGCTTATCTTCTCCAACGTTGACACCACCCTACACTCCACTTCTCAGCCAAGATCTCCTTTGGTTCAAAAGCGAAATCAATGAAGGTTCAGAAAGAATTCAATGCAGAAGGTTGCTGCGAATTCAATGAAGAAAGAAGTTTCGTGTTTTGCTGGGTGAAAATTGAAGTTCAAGCCAATTTGTGGGACCCACGTTAAATTTCCGTGACGGAAATCGTTAACTGGTGTTAACTTCCAACTTTTATATTTTTGGGAGGTGTTAAAATAAAAGTTTTTTTTTGGGGGGTGTTAAAAAACATTTTCAGCCTTTTGTAAGGTGTTAAAATCCAAAATATCCTAAATTATATTCACCAATCGGAATGCTAAAATCTTTTCATGGTTATTCTAGCAAAATTGTACATATGAAATATGACTAAAAAGATACCAAAATTGCCTTCCTAAAATAGGATTTTGGAAGTGTCTATGAAAATAGTCTAAGGGTTTTGAAAATCTAAATAATGCTACATTTGAAAGCAAGCTCAAGAAATCCATTATGGGATTGAAGAAAGCATTGCATAAAGGAATTGGAACGTTTTTTCTCATAAATTTAATAAAAGGATTAACTTATGAACAAACATAGAAATTCTTATGAATAAGAAGTTTAGTGGGAGCAAGAGTTACTCTTGTAGGGTCCAACAAGAAGTTTACGAACTCAGTTGAAAATTAACTATCAAATGCTAAATGCTTAGATTTGAATGTATTTTCGACAATGGACCAATTAAAAGACGATACTTAGTACATATTGGGTATTAAGATCTATTGTATAGACTTAATAAAATGTCTGTCGTGTAAAGGAATTTACCGTGTTAAACATAAATTGAAGGATTTTGAATGACTTTTGACCCTTATGTATAAAACTAAGTAAATGTTTGAACTACTTATGAGCTAGGCTAAATACTAAGTCAAACAAGAAAGACTCTAGTAAAGACTTTCAACCCATATCACATAGCAAATAGTTTAGCAAGACTCGATGAAACTAGATGTGCTAAAATTTAATGTGGATGGAAAAAGATTAAATATCATTCTACAATTAAATCCATCATGTACGCTACGATATGGAATCGTCACACGACTTACTTTCTTAGAGCATGTGAAGTATGTATATAGTACTAATCAACCCGAATCTATGTAATAGATCATTAGATTATGGCCAAGAACATCCAAAGTACTTGGATAAGTAACAGGATGAGTTCATAAATTATGGAAACAAATACAATTTGAGAATTGATGTTGCAAGCACAAACCTTAACAAGGATTAGATCCTTAACAAGGAAGCCGTTTATAAGCACGAGCTAATAATGAGTCGTGGCTTGAGAATGGTAACATGGACGTGCATCCATGTGTAATGTGCGGGAATTTAAAGTAAATTTCCATGATCACAAGTGATTAGGGTATCCCAAATCATTGTGAGTCGTTTGGAGTGAAACCCAAGCAAAGCATCATTAGGAAGCCTACTTAAATATATGTTGAGAATATTGTTGTCTTAAAGGCAATAATAAGGAAGATGTTCTATGGAAAGTTCATTGTTGAAGGTTAATGATTGTAGGTTGTCAAGTTGAAGATCTCAATCATGAATATGAGTGGGAGCCATCACTTGGACAATAAATCCTATATCACATATAATCCATGGCACTCTAAAATTTTATCATCTTATTATGAAAGTGATAAGTAATGAAGATGCTAAGATTAACAAAGTAATTATAGCTAAAGCTATGCAATAAGTGAACGATAACATTCACAATTGCACGACAGAAATCAAGAATATGAAATATGGGTGTAATTTATATAGATGTTTTATAAAGAGTGTTACTCTTAAAACATTCGGAAAAACCATTTATAAACCATTCAGGTTTTGGAGTAATTTAAAATTTATTGCAATTTTATCACTCTGTTTTCTATTTAATTATGGTTTAGGATTAAATAATGAGTCCATTCGATTCTGAGAATATTTAAAATAGGGTATCAAGACCAGTCTTGATAAGAAAACACCTATTAAGTGAACATTGAATATTATAATAAAAATTATCCATAATCAAGGTCATCTAAACGATGGACGATTAGTGTGTAGTTTGATTTATAACACTGATTCTTGTGCTACAAGGACATGATTGTCATAAATCATTTGTACAGGTATTGGTTTGGAACCATACCGGTAGATCTGTTATGAGGATACTTTAAGAGAATTAAAATCGTCATAAGTATACTTCTCAATATGGCTATCGAAACCTATTTCCTCGACCATGAGTATTGTGAGCTCTCTTGTTTGAGTACTATTCCGCTTTGATGTTGTCAAACGTCTACCGTAAAAGGGGATTATAACAGCAACACTTGGGATGCTAGGTCCCCTCAGTAAGAGGAGCTACATTACAAGGCTGGGAATGTCCCCCTACTAAAAATAGGGAAGATGTCTTTGTTGTTTACAAGGCCTCTTGAAGAGCGAGACTGTAAAATGCATGGTCGTGCTCGGATGGATTTTTGAAATCATCTGTTTATTAACAGTCGGACTTGGGATCGAGAAACACTTCTAGACATAATAAGGATGACGAATAAATCTTACCTTATAGTTCATCAAGAGACATTAAGTGACATAAGGAAAAAGGCTATACACTAAAAGCACACTTGTTCGGAAGGACAAGTGAGAGATCGAAAGGAATGGTGTCCTTCAAACAAGTGTATTATTCCAATAGAGGGTTCAGAATTATTAAAAAGCTAATTATTCAGTGAGACCAAGTGATCGGAATTCCTGGGTGGAGGCCGCTTCCAATCAGTTTTAGTAATGTATAATTAATATTATAACTTAATCTTGACTGAACCCTTCAGGTCACACCAAAGAAACTAACGAGCTGGTGCGACGAACTATATCAGAAGGAATTCATGAGTCACCCGAGTAATTAAAATTTAGACGTTGGAAATTCGAGCTTGGAGCGACGAATTCGAGCGTCAAAAGTCAAGCCAAAATTTAGGAATTGGCGAGACGGGAAAATGCTTCAAGTAACAATAAAAACCCTAGCCACGTGAAAGGCTAGGGAAGCACACCAAATAGGAGTGTACCACGTGGCAGCGCACGTGGAAGCACACGTGGTAGCATCCACGTCGGCAGCCGCCAAGTGGCAGCAACAACATTGGCAACTGCCACCAAGTGGCAGCGTACCACGTTGGCAGCGTGCCATGGTGGCAGCGACACATGGCATGGGCCGTGGACCTGGGTGAAGGGTCATGAATACGGGTCAAAAAAGTAGTGGCCCAACCAAACCCAATTTGGGGCTCAAGGTTAGGTGACACGTGGTTAGCTCACAATGCATGTGAGTTACCTTGGGGAGCAAGTGAGGAAGTGGTCCTCACCTAACCATGTGACACTTATTACTTAGTTATTCCTTGGTTTATTTAACTAAGGATTGAATTCAACAATTTTTCCATGTGGGATCTTTTTGTGAAAAAGTCCCACATTGAAAAATGAGTGGAATTCACAAGAAAACCTTCCCTATAAATACCCAAGGCATGCCTTAGGTATTTTCACTTGAGTAAGTGCTGAAAATGGCATTAGATTGTGAAAACCTTTTAACACAAATTACTCGGGTTTAGGTCGGGCCTTGCTAACTCCAAGGCAATAGATCGAGTTCGGTGCTCGCGTTGCAGATGGACTTTGTAGGAAGTCCCCGTGTGAGGGAGGCTAAGGGGCTTTCTAAGTAAGAGCTCTATTAAGTGAGCGAAGAATGCTACAAAGGTAATAATCTCTTACTTAGTCTTGTGTTTATTTTAATTATGAATTATGGTTATAATTATTATGAGTTTGGTTTTGGGTTGGGTTTCTTTCCGCGGGTGGTCGGACTCACCAAAACCCAACATAATGTGTGTGTAAGTGACACTAAGTCTAAGCTGCAAAGGCTAAGTGTATGGAAAATTATTTTGAAAAGAGTCAAATAGTGGTGACTCTTAGGCTAGGTAAGCTAATGATGTAGGGATCAAGCCCCAAGACTAGCTCTAAATGGATATGATGAGCATAGGAGATCCCTTGATATGATCATGTGTGAATGTAATTATGAATGTATTTTTTATTACGGCCTCACCTCGATGTGAGGTTGCCTACGTATTCGTTAGGAATCAGGCCGAACGTAGCTCTAGTCGAACCTCGCACAAGTGTGTGTATACCACAAAGAGGTCTTTTAAGGTTTGTAACGTGGTTAGGCTAAAGGTTGAAGAATAAGGGGATAAAGGCTCAAGACCCTTGATAAGCCCCCAAGGTGTGCAACCTTGCTTTTGAATCTTTGTATTTGTATGCTTAAGGTTTCTCACTTTTGAACTCTTTTTCTTTTATATTTTGCTCTCTCTCTTTTTTCTTTTTTGCTTTTGCATTTTTTTTTATTTTGATAAGTAAGCCAATCTCGATCACGCAATCTATCACTCACTTGACATTCATGTTTCTTGGGCACGGTACTTAGCACTTGATGAGAGACGCTATCTGAGTAGTGTTCATATCAAAGACATATTCTTGTCAATGACA